AAGAAATAGTGATGAATATGTTCTCTGTAAGCGTCAATTTATTTGTGATTTCGTTGGTAAATTTTCTTTATTTTAAACTAACTCTTTTTTTTCCACTCATATCTTGAGCCAATCAGCATTAATTCAACATTATATATGAGCCAATCAGCATTTATCTAACATTATATATGAGCCAATCAGCATTAATCTTACATTATGTATGAACCAATGAGCTGCAAGGAATTTAAATAGGGGTGGGGCTTCTTTACCTATTACCACCAACTAAAAAAAAAAAAAAAGATTATAAATATGGCGGAACAAGTGCCTGGTGACCCTCCAGTAAATGGTGTTATATAGCAGTAAATTATACGAATTATAGTAATCGGAAGGGACTATTATTTGCAAGAATTTAAACACCACTTTCTTACACTTTTGCCGTATAAAGGTTTAGTTATTTAAGTCTGTGTGTGTCTGTGTGTGTGTGTGTGTCTGTGTGTGTCTGTGTGTCTGTCTTGTTCTCTTATCTCTTCTCTCTCTCTTCCCTCTATTCCCATCCATTTTTTCTTTTTTTTTTCCTTTCCAGTTCTTCTCTCATCATCCCTGTCTCTCTCTCTCCTTCCTTCCCTCCCTCCTTGTCTATATCTCCCATCTTCTTGAGACAGATAAATAGATACATATATAGAAATATAGATAGATAGAGAGAGAGAGAGAGGTAATTGACCAGGTCCACACACACACACACACACACACACACACACACGTTGTTGGTGTATCATGGAGGAGGTCATAGCGAGAATTTTAAAAGCACTCTCGGTTAATGGCTCATTATGGCTCATTATGGCTCTCATTGTTGGCGCCGCTAGACTGAATGGCACCGCTGGGGCTACCGTGGCGCTCTCAATGGGCTTGTGTACCCCTCCCCCCTCCCACGTGTTTTTGAAGACGTGGGTTCGATCCTCAATTTGAGTAAAGTGAACGTTCGTGAGCTAACAAACAGTGTCATAGAATGCTGTGAGAGTGACAATTTTCAGCACCATTGACCTTAAACTATGACCTCTTGACCTGATAATGAAGTGGCAATATCCTTCTCTGCTGACGAAATGCTGTATTATATTTAAGAGGAAATATTATATGATGGAGAAAAAAAAAATATATGACCTCGACAATAAAATCAATACGTAACTTTCCTGATTATTTGAGGAAATTTTTTTTTACACCAATTTCAGTCAAGAATGATTATATGTGAGACAAAAATTCATACTGACACGAAAAAAAGAAATATTAACAACCGTGACCTCGAACTGTATAAAAATGAAAGTTCAACAGACAGACACACGTACAGAGATAGATAATAACTATGTCCCACGGTCATTGTTTATTACATTGACATAAAAAATAATGTTCAGTGGATGTCATTTGTTAGATAATGGTATTCGCATTAAAGGTCTGAAAATATAGTGTTTTCGTTTTAATGTATGGAAATGTTGGTAATGTGGTGACCTGGTTATAATGGTGGGATGACATAGGAGGATATTTTATCGGGTTGATTTATAGGTGTGTGTGTGTGTGTGTGTGTGTGTGTGTGTGTGTGTGTGTGTGTGTGTGTTTTCCCTCACTCCCATCTCAGATTCTGGATGATTTTAATAATTAGCATTAACCAACAAGTCACTGAGGTTAGATATGGACAAAATGAAGCCACCGTGACCTTAGCTTGACCACTAATCGATTAGGACAATGGTCAGAATTTACTCCGACTTGCTCCCCGGTACGAGACTTTCCCCAAGGTAAAGCTGCCGGCCGCACGATGTTGTAATAGAGAGAGAGAGAAAGAGAAAGGTCAGGGTCATTTAATGGTTAGTATCATGTCAAATATTAAGGTCAGGGTCGTGTCAATGGCCAGTGTTAGGTCAGAGGTCAGGTCAGAAGTCGGGGAGCAGATCAAGTCAGGAGTAAAGAAAAGGAGAGCAGAGTAACTGAAACGTGGGTGGCTGTGTCCGTAGAGTTATGCATCAAAATTTAATAACTCCTTTATTTTTCAACTCGTAATTTCAAGTAGATATACATGTTTTCTTAACTTTTTTTTTACTCAGTTACATGCATACACTATCTTATATACAAAATCTGTAATAATAATTAAAATAAATACTTACCATAAGGTCAAAAAGAGAAAGGATAAACATTTCTTGGTGCGCTAGAGTTCGTGAGCTGAGCGGCTGAGGTGGGAAGGAGGTCAGTTGAGTGTAGGTTCCCAGGCGCTCTGAGCTGTCTCCCTCGTTTAGAAGTGAGATGTGCTGTGTTTGAGAGCTGTGTGCTGTGACCAAGAGATAGCTGACGGGTGTGTGCTGTGTTTGAGAGCTGTGCTGAGAGAAAGAACTAGCTGACGGCTCTCTCTCTCTCTCTCTCTCTCTCTCTCTCTCTCTGCGATAAACAAGGTGGATGAGACAGATAACGATAAACAAGGTGGATGAGACGGATAGCTATAAACGTCTTTTAACACCAATTTCGTGGAAAAATTTATGAAATCTTTATACTGTAAATTCTGACATTTTTAATTGTTTTTTCTTTATTTATTTCATTTTTCAAAACTCTTCTCAACTTACACCATTGTTATTCAAATCATGCGTGTGTGAGTTTGTTTTTGTTTTCTTTGTTATTTTCTTTTTAACAAGTAAACAAATATTCCAAGTCGGGAAAAAAAAAGGAACGTATACGGTGGTTGTGTGTAAGTTAGTCGACCCAACTTAAGATACTTTGTTGTCAAGCTTCCAGGGAGAAAAAGTTATATAAGTCGTTAATGGACAAGAGAGAGTGTTTTATGTATTATCTCTCTCCCTTTAATTCTCTCTGTCTGTCTGTCTGTCTATCTGTCTGTCTGTCTGTCTGTCTGTCTATTTCTTTTTTCTCGGTAACTCTCTCTCTGCCTTGTTCAATTACACTCGCCTCTTGCAAGAAACACTAAACAAATACTGATTATCTTCTACTCGTTCCTCGCTTGTTATCTCAATACAAAACAAGACTTCTACAAGACCAAACATACGAGTTAAACAAGCACAGAACAAACACGACGTAAATGTTAAGGTGTGTGTGTGTGTGTGTGTGTGTGTGTGTGTGTGTGTGTGTGTGTGTGAGTTTTATTTAAAGGATTGTAGGAACCTCAAACGTTTTCATGGTAAATTTCTCTCCTGATCTCAGTCCTACATGTCTGACTTAACTTACGTCACAAAAATAGATTTTCAAGAATACTAAGTTAATTTTTTTTATAATAGCTAGTGAAGGGATAACGTATTTAACCTCAGTTAAGTTACGGCATAAAAATATATTCTCAAAGGATCCCAAGTTAAATTTTTCTATTAATTGGAGATGTGAGAATATATCGAAGTTTCCCTTAACCTGCGAAGAAAAATTTAATTCTCAAAGGTTCTTATGTTCTGGTGAGGTGAGAACTGATATTAAGATTACCACATGAAGTTATAACACAAATATGACATAAAAAAAATGGCTACCAAATTCCGCCGAGACTCTACACGTTCTCTCTTACCCAGTTACAACAGGTACAGAAATAACTTACGAGTGTTTGATAACCGTAACTCTCGTAAAGTTAAGTTAACCTGAGGGAAGAAGGCAGGTATCTTGAGCTAAATTTACGGCAGTTTCTCCTCAGTTGCTCGACAGTGATAAGAACTTTAAATGTTCTCATAAAAGTCTAGTGTGTAAGAGAATAATAATAATAATAATAATAATAATAATAATAACTGATATACCATAATATACACACATAATATAACATCAACCACCATCACTATACTTACAAGAAAACTATGACAAAATTACTTCCTGCTGATTCATATATTAATTACATGTGATAAAGGTAATAAGGTGATAATTAGTTGTTAATGAGGGTTATTAGTGTATGTTTGTCTGTATGGTACTGTCAACGCCTTAAATATTCTGCCATAATCAGAATAAAAAATCAGAAAGAAAAATGATGATGATGATAATAATAATGATAATGATGAGGATGATGACAGTGATGAGGATGAAGATGACGATGACAGTGATGATGATGACGATGATGATGATAATGACAATGATGAAGATGATGATGACAGTTATGATGACGATGACATTATACAATTAACATAATCTAACATCCGTCTTTCCTCCTCCACAGTGACGATGACGACGATGACGATGACGATGTACTACGCCGTCAGGCTACTTAGCTTCACTGGCCTTGGTGAGTAATGTGTAGTGTAGTGATGATGGGTGTGGTGATGTAGTGATGATGGGTGTGGTGGTGTAGTGATGATGTATTGTGGTGGTGTAGTGGTAGAGATATATTAATACAGTAATTCACGGATACAGTGATAGAACAGAATAGCGGTACAGCGGTACACACACACACACACACACACACACACACACACTAAATTACAGTCATATAATATACATCAAAATTCATAATTACAGGAGAAAAATACATGAATCCAGCTACAGTTTCAACACCTAAGCCTGAATCATCTCTGTCTGTCTGCCTGCCCGTCTGTCTGTCTGTAATCTGGTAAGTGGGTGGCAGCCATACAACCTGAGTTAAAGTGACACAATAAAACATTTAAAGTTAGGGTTATGTTGTTAAGTTAAAATATATAAATCATCTGTCAATGGTGATTTTTATACAAGTTAAGAGGTAGGGAAGAGAGCGTAGTCTTTACTGGGTGGAGGGTGGGTAGGGTGTGGTCTTAGAAGGTCTGGGTGGGGTGTGGGTAGGGTGTGGTTTTAGCAGGTCTGGGTCGGGGGTGGGTAGGGTGTGGGTAGGGTGTGGTCTGGGTGGCTTAAGTTGTATACATCTGTTTTGTCCGGAATTGGAAATATTTAGTTCTCAGTCAAGTGATTAACAAATAATAACACAGAAGAAAGTGTTAAATTATCCTCATATTGTTAACATCTTCCATCTAACCAAGAAAGAAACACAAAACAAAAAACAAATAAAAACATGGCAAGTAACCCAAAGTAACACAGAAAGACAGGAAGTAACAGCAGGGAATATGGCAAGTAACACAAAATAACGCAGAAAAACAGTAACTAACAGCAGTTAACATGGCAAGTAACACTAGGTAACACAAGAGAGGGACATCAAGTAACATCAAATAACAACAGGTAACAGCAAGCAAACACAGGCTGAGCCAAACTGAGCCGACGATTGCTTTCTGCAGACTCCCTGAGAGGATAAGTTTGGACTCATGTGTGTGATAACAAAGAAAAACACTCTCTCTCTCTCTCTCTCTCTCTCTCTCTCTCAGTTAAACTACTAGTCACCAGGGAGTCGACCAGCCTGCTCCACAATACGGCTGACATTAATGTTTGTTATTTGTGTGTGTCTGTCTATCTGTCTGTCTGTCTATCTGTCTGTCTGTCTGTCCACGACCCACAGGAGGAGCCATGAGTGACAGGTCCTCTTCAGTGTGCCAAGGTCAAGTTAGGTTTATATTCATCAAAATCAGTCTCTATGACCCTCCAGGCTTCTCGTGGCTTAATAGGAACTTTTTGGTGTTTTTTTTTTTTGGTCTGTGAAATATGGGTTACGTAGGCTCGACCACCCTGGGTAAATAAATAGACAGTGTGGCGAGAATTACACCCGATAGCCGTAATTTCCTCAACTGTGGATCGAAAAAGGGACCCAAATGATACAAAGCGAGTGCTGCATCCAGTCATCCAGTGCTGCATCCAGTCAGTCAGTCAGTCAGTCAGTCAGTCAGTCAGTCAGTCTACACACTCTATTTTTGGCTATATAAAACTACTAATAATAATAAACATAGAGAAATATATAGAGAGCCTAGCGTTCAAAGAGAGAGAGAGAGAGAGGAGGCTTATCCCCGAGAGAGAGAGAGAGAGAGAGAGAGAGAGAGAGAGAGAGCAACACCTGGACTTATACTTGTGTTTTCCCCAGTACAGCAGCCGTCTAAAGAGCACAACACACTGTAGAAAAAACCCATGAATACTGAATTCTTGCCGTGGAGAGAGAGAGAGAGAGAGAGAGAGAGAGAGAGAGAGAGAGAGAATAATAATATAGATAAAGAAAGACAGACATACAGATGGCCAAACAAAGAGGCGAGAGAGGGAAAGAGAGACAAGAACGAGAGAAAGAGCAAGAAAATGAGGCAAGAGAGAGAGAGAGAAACAGAAGAACGAAAGAGAGACAGACAGGCAGAAAGACAGACATAGGGACAGAAGACGATGATATCAAAGCCCACCAACTACCTCACCTACATATATAACGTAAGAGAAAATATCCTAACTAATACGGCCATATACAGTACTACCATCTCTGAAATCCTCCCCCTACCGTGTCTTGGGATAGACTGAGTGGTTCTCAATGTCGCCGCTAGAGGGCTACTGGGGAGGGTTACCAAACAGGGATATATTGTAACTATTTTTTTCCTATTCTAATCTGTTGTTTGTTCACGTCGAACAAGAAAGATAATGATGATGATGATGATGATGATGATAATAATAATCTTCATCATCAAAATCATGAATAAATCAATAATTATTTCACACACTTACTCATTACAACATCCTGGGGAAAAAATATGCTTCTAATAACACCCTGGGAAAAAAAAAAACCTGTCGTCAAATACCCTGGGAAAAAAAAAAGTCGTCAAAACACCCCGAGGAAAAGTGTCGTCAAATACCTTGGGAAAAAAAAAGAGCCTCAATAACATCCGGCGAAAAACAAACTTGCCATAATAACATCCTGGGAAAAAAATAACTTCAAAACACCGGCTAATTATTCCATCAAATGTGAATAATTGTTGTAATTAGTAACTTTTTCAGGTAAATTACAGGTATCTTGATGAATGTATTTGAATGGTCATAGGCTGTACTCTCTCTCTCTCTGATCTGCGAATTGAAGGTTGTTAATGAACTCAATTGGCAATTCTAGCTAGCCTATAATTGAGTCTCTTAGACCAGGCTGACCCAAGATGACCTCTACCCCCCTTCAGGAACACGGGGTCAATTTACCTGTTGCTATTCTCTAAATGACCTCATCCCCTGGTGACCTGACCTCGCGTTCTCTCCTTCTAAGTATCTCTCCTTCTTCTATTAGTCTCTCTCTCTCTCTCTCCCCAATATCACACCTCCTCACCCCCGAGAACACAGAATAACATACAATATAACTTTCACACCTACATGTCCTAACGTCCCAGCCACTATGAAGCTCTCAAAGACTCAGCAGTGTGAGGGTGTGTGCTGGGTGAGTTTGTTACCTGTGGGAAATACAATTCGCGAGGCAGTGTGTTGTGCAGAAATGGAATTCCTTTTGGGATATGCCAGCGAGCCAGGAAGGGTTGGGCTGTGTCGGATCTGAGGAGGGTGGATATATATATATTTGTGTGTGTGTGTGTGTGTGTGTGTGTGTGTGTGTGTGTGTGTGTGTGTGAAAATAAACATCGCTCATAAACGCAGCTTTCACTTTCCCTCTCACTCTTTTATTTCCTCTTTATTCAAATTTGTTTAATAACGAGAACTAAAAAAAACAAAATATAAACAAACATTAAAGTGAACTAAATAATCATTCATAATAAAGAAAAATTACCAAACACAAAAAAACAAAAGCAAAAAATCGACCTTTCAAAACAGCCCCAAATAATCTTAAAACACGTAATCATAAGTTTAATTTATGTTATTTTTTCGATATGTCAAGTTTAATGTTTAATAAGTTACTTTTTAGTCAATAGTAAATTAGAGATAAAAGATAATTGATGGGTTATATAGTTAAAGAGATGAGAGATAATTGATGGGTTATATCGTTAAAGAGATGAGAGATAATGGGGTTTAGTATATCGTTAAAGAGAGGAGAGTTATGGCTAATAATTTCGTTCGTTAAATTAATTATCTCTTTCTGTCTCTGCTTCTTCTCTTCGTCTCTTTGTCTCTCTCTTTTTGCCAGTGTCACTTTCTCATAGATATTATCACCATAAACTGCTTACCGAACAGTCTCTCTCTCTCATCTTATCTCTCTCTCTCTCTCTCTCTCTCTCTCTCTCTCATTTGCTTCTCTTATCGTCTTTCAATCACAATAGAAACAAATGAAAATAAATTAATAAAAGATAAACGAAAGAACCATTGTACTTACTATTAACCTATCCCTTTTGTTCTGGTTTGCGGTGGCTGAATAGAAACAGTACTCGCCTTCTGTCCTATAGGTCACAGGTTCGCATCCGTGATACCACCAGTCGAGTCAGCTGTAAATAGGAACTTCATTTTAGTTGGGAGAATGGAAGTGGTCAATTGCAGTGCCGGTTATAATGACTATCTGTTTACTGAAGGTTAGCCAATCAGTGTACTGTATCCAAACTGCCCTTAAATGTCTTAATCTTTCATGAAAACGAATTGAGCGTTTTTGTTATCTCTCTCTCTCTCTCTCTCTCTCTCTCTCTCTCTCTCTCTCTCTCTCTCTCTCATGAATACCACCACATTCGACTGATCGCACTTCGAGAGCCAATTTCAGTATTTCACAATAACGATGGGGGAAACATTTTTAATTAGTTGTTGTAAATAAAATAAAGAGGCGGAGAGAAGTTAAGGAAACACTTAAGAGATGTGTTGAAACTTGGGTGTGTGTGTGTGTGTGTGTGTGTGTGTGTTGACTGTATCTGTGTGTGTCTGTGTCGTTTATGTCTGTCTGTCTGTCTGTGTCTCTGTAACCCAACAGCGGTAGTGAAGAACACCTCTAGATATTAAGGTGTTTTGTTGGCCAAGGTCAGGGAAGGTCAGGGATGGAAGGAGGTCAAAATCAGTATCTCCTCCAAACTCCTTCCTCCTCCTTTTCCTCCATCACTTCCCCTCCCCCTTCTCCTCCTCTTTTACCTCCCCCCCCCCACCCCCCCCAAGGGTAGATGGAGGGAGGGAGAGATGGTGTAGGTTGGAAGAGCTCTCACACACATTTAGATCATCATTAATATAAAATAAAAATCAATGTCGTTAATAATCTTTTGGTGGAAATTAATTATGACGGAATACATTATCTCTAAGAGGGAAGGAATATTAATTTATTTATTCATTTTATAATTAAATATTTAGGGTCATTATTTGTATTTTACTAGAAGTTAAATTTAATTAACATAACTAAACCAACTTAATTTAGCCAATTTAGAGAATTTATGTTAATTGGTGTTAATTTACCTTATTTAATAATGTTAACTTATAACCAACTGAGGATAAGTTACCCAGCTT